TATTTTCTCCGTGTCGCCCGGACTGTGTAGGAAGAAAATTGCAAAGTAATCGAGAGAAGAATAAAAAGGGATCGACATAATACGGGGGCGTAGACGAAATGAAGATAAAGTTTGATTTGACTTTCGGCGGTCTAAATCTGAACCGCGATTGATTGGTCACAAAACGTGTGTTCGGGTATTACCGCGTTAGAGGGGCCTCCCGACTTGGGCCAAGGAAGGCCGCGCTCGCATTAGCGAGCGAGCACAAGCGAGGTAGCCGCGGCAAGGAAGAAGAGAACAACGCCGTCGGCGTCGTAGGGTGCCTGGAAGATGCGGGCAACAATGTTAGCCCGTGCTGCGTACAATAGCCTCCGCATTATGTGCACAACGCGGCAATGGGGCATCGCTAAGGTTACATTACCGGCTGGTTGCCTCCTCCTCTTACAAAGAGGACTCGCAGTTCGGCGCGCACAATGCGATACACCGGAGGAGGAGGGCCGGCTAGTGATGGGGTAGAAATGGTGTCGAGTTAAAACTCCAAAGGCGAATCGCAGGCGCGAGAGGTGCGATTAATCGGTCGCGAGGGACGGCCAAGTCAAATTCGCTCGAAGGGTCCCCTTACCGATCAATTTCCGGCCGCTGAACCGTCGGAAAGTCGAAATAACAGTAACAGTTCGAGAAGGAGCGCGGTGATGGACGATGATGTTACAACGATGGATCGTCGGGGAGCCGGTCGAGAGTTGCATTAATTCACCGTGCATAATACGCCGCGTATCGTGCATCACCGCGCTCTCATAGCCGCATTTAACACACGCGGGAATCGACGAACGATTCGGCGGATTAATTGGATTCACCCTTCTCTGCGCCGGTCGGAGCGCCCTTCGGCACGTTCGCCTGCCCGCGATCGCGTCGATTCCATCGCTGCGCACACAACCACGAAGTCCGTTGCAGTGCGTGTTTTCACGTGATGGGGTCGGCTCCCAGACCTGAGAACATTCCCACGTTCCGTAGCACGAGCCAAGAGTGTACAACCGGAAGAATTTCGGAGGCGAGGCAACCTATTCTCCGAGAGAGACGGACGAGAGACGCGAGCAAGGGGGTAGAGAGCAACCACGGTTAGAGTGAGAAGAAAAGACAGGGAGAGAGAGAGAGAGAGAGAGGGGAAGGAGGTAAAAAGGATACGGTGAAGGATGGGGAGAGAGAAAGGCTCGACGAAAGAGAGAAAGAGAGACTGCCTTTGCTGGCGCGAGAAGAGGAAGGAGAAGCCTGCCAACGGAAGTGTTTCGTGTACCGACGTGCTCCGAATTAGCATCGACGACCTAACGTGCCTCCCTCCACGCTGAACCGCACGCTCGGGGTCGTCGTTGAAGAGTACACAGAGATTTTGAGCACACGAGTGGAAGAAGCACGCGCGAGGAAATCGAGAAGCTCGAGCGAACGAGATTCTCCGAGGAGGAGGGGGAGGAGCGGCTGCAGATCCGGTAAATATCGCTGTTGCTCCGAGTGGTGGAATCGAGGATTATTACTTTAGCCCGGGGGTGACGCTCGTTGCGCGCTTGTTTATTTTCTGTAGTAGTAACGCCGGCTATGGCGGCTCGGTAATTCATGTTGCTTCATTCTGATACGAATTGATAATAAATTACACGCCGCGATATCGGGGAATGAGCCCGCCGGCTCGACTACTCCCTGGAATATTATTCCGCGGTTTTTCTCTCCCGCCTCGCGCGCGCGGGGCTAAATCGTGTGCCGATTGTTGTTCCATCTTGTACATTTGTTACGCCGCGCTTCCGCGTGTTATGATACTTATTTGCCCGAGAGATAATCAATGTTCCTCGTCGCGGGGAACAAAAGCCGGCCGCGGCTACGTTCGTGCGGTTATCGCGCAGAGTTTTGCGGCTGTTTAAGGTAATTGGCCCCGCAGACTGCCGGATTCTCAGTATTAAGAGGCTTTCATATAAGTTGGTTATATTTTGAATTGAAAAAATACCTTGCTGTAACTTTATTTAGTTGTATTTAAGCGAGGAAGATTAATTTCGAGCGCGCGAAATTAAGACGAATGTACACGCGATATTGGAAACGCGGAAATATTATTCACTTCTTAATTTTCTTATTAATACGTCTTTATTTACACGTCCGTCGAAATACAGTGGCATGATAGAAAGTGGTATATAAATATTGAAATATGCATTTATGCAAATATATTGCAGATACTACTAAAAATTAATTGATTAAATTAAGTAAATTTCCTATAGCCATACTTTCAAAATAAAATGGTAAATAGTTCTGAAATTTTTGTATAATGAACATTCTAGATGTAGCTTAGAAGAAATTAAAAATAGAGAATTAAAAATCAGACATTAATCTCAAGGAGTGTATAAAAAGTGTATTATCTTCAGCTGCGAATATCTCAGCTTCCGAATGATTAATCGTTTTTTAACTTCGCACATATGTAAATAGTATTTCCATCAATGTGCGGCTAAAATTTAAAAGGATTTCTCGAAAAAATGATTTGACGGATCAACTACCTTAACACTCGCGCGCGTACGTCTCTGTAATTTTACGAATGCCTATTCTTTATTAGTCTGCGACGGGGGAGGGGGGGGATACTCGCAAAGGGCGCGATGGGTTATGTCCGTCACAGGTGGTGTGCCCCGAGTAAACGCGGAATTCCGAGTATAACCTCCTTCTCTATATCCGCGGGGCCGGAGATTATGTTTACTCGCAATCGGAGATATCTCGTTCGGCTTTGTTGACCGTGACCAACGATCCTAAAATATTATCTCCGGCCCGGCTATCTCCTTTCTTCACGGAGAATGGGAACTTTTTTATCATCCGGGATCGAGGACGCGAGCTTATCTCGCAGCGATAACGCCCTTACAGAGACATTACGGCGGGCTCCTTTCGATCGGTCCTCCTAAAAATGCAGACTCGACAAAATTTCACTAGAGTCAATTACCGTGACCGTCGTAATTTCAAACAGATCGGCAATTAAACCAGCTGTATCTGCCTAAGGCAGATTCTTTAACGAACATACACGTCGTAGCGTCGTGTCCGGGCCGATAGCCTCCGTAGTGGAGGCCAAGTTTTGCGTTTAAATCCAAAAGCTCGTAAATATTCGGCCGACCCACGTGTGGAACGTTGTTTTGGGGGTATCGGCTTCCAAAAGGGCTAAACGCCTCGTTAAGTCCCGCGAAGCGAAGCCTGTCCGGGTCGAAGATGGGCGGATCATTAAGATCGTACGTTTATAATTCAAAACATGGGCTCCCGACCCGCTCGATGCCACATCCTGGGGAACCGGTTGTCGGAAACTTTCTGGAGGCCGGTCTAATCTCGGACTAATATCCGATGGAATATGCAAAATTCACAATCGGGCAATCGGGTCAGCGCGTGAATCTTCCGAGCAGGAAGAAATCGTAGATTAATTATAGCCGAATATTCCGGCGGCTGGACAGACTTACGGACAGACAGGATCACCGCTGAGATCGTCCTCAGCCGACAAATCGAAAACTGTTGCTGGATTCGTACAGCCCCGAAATTGCTCGGTGACGTAACTAACTTGCGTTAGCACTTTCCATATGTTAATCATTCGTGTCTGTCCGCAAAGATCTTTGCACGAATATAGAAAGTGTTAAATTAGATCTATCAGAATTCGTAGAGGAGAAAGTGGTACTACAGTCCCTTGTAGATATAATAGCCCCTATTAACATTTCCGTTATCAGGTGGCGAATTCTAGCGATTACTTATGGAATCGTTCGTTTAGTAACCACGTTATCATTTTTCCTCCGGTTCGACTCATTACCCGATGTCGCCGCATTTTTTACGAGCAACGTCCCAAATAATAAATACTTCATAACTTTGAGCCTAGAAATCGCGTGAACGACACTTCGACGAATGTAATCGTTAATCTTCCAACTTAAACTATTGCTTACTAACAAAGTCAGTACTAAAAGTAAACTGGGATCGTAACCCCACCTTCTCCTCCACAACCCGCGGCGATATGAAAGCGAGAAAGGGGGCGGGGGGAGGGGGACGCTCAGCATTCGCGACATTTATTTCTATTGTTCCGCGCAAAGTGGAATGCGAACTGGTCCGGCCGGCGCGACCCGGCGTTGCCCGCCAAGCCGTGATTCATTGCGGAGAAGTGCCGGGAGTGCTGCCGACACGCGCGTGCACGTGCACCACGTCGGTGGTAACCGTCGGTGAATCAACAAGTGTGCCTCGAGCGCCGCGCCGCTGGCTTCCTCTCCTCCCACCGATCGAGTACAAATCAGTACAAATAAACGAATACCGGCGATCCCGAGAAAACGTCTCGGGCGTGTCGTCGCACCGACGTGTGGGCGCGCGGAAGACGTCAACATCGTCCTCCCGGAGCTTTCGATCGAAGCGAGTTACGCGCCGAGGGGCCGAGTCGCGGCCGTGCCTTCGCGTTTTCATCTCGATTGAAAGATGACGCGCAATTGGCAATTGCCCGGTGTGGAACGAGCGGTCCACGAGTGTGTTTACACGGAGCGCACGTCGCGCCTCGGTTCACATCGGCTTACGCTTCCTCGAAGCGCGCGCGCTCATAGATTTATTCGCGATAATCCCGTGCCTGTGGCGCGATCACGCTCGCGCGGATCGCGCGGGTCGTCCTCGTGCTGGTCGCGCGTCGTGGCGTGTGCTCTTCTCTCTCTCTCTCTCTCGTTCTCTCCCTCTCTTTCCTCCCCCGGCGCGCGCGCGTCCAGGGCAGCGTGCAGGTGTGCTCTCGGTAAGGTGTCCCCTCCCCCGCTGTTTGCGCGCAAGGAGAGGCCCCCCTCCTCGGCAGGCGTCGAGCGGCACAGAACCTGTGTGCAGGCCCCAACAGGCCCCCCGATCTGTGGGAACGCTCCGGCCTGCGAGCTTCCCACGATACGCCACGGCTGCTGGCTGGCTGTGCACGCGGACTGCACGCTGTACAACCGTGCCCCTCGGACCCCCTTTTGCACCCCAGTCCCAGCGAGAATCCCAGACTCGCGTGGAGGGGCACGGAACCGGCGAGGACGATGGTGGGGCGACCCGTATAAGTAATTGAAAGTACCCCACCAGCGCTCAGAACCGTCACGGGCACAGATCCAGACGTAATCTCGGAAGCCCGAGGACACAGCGAGCAACACGCGACAATAAAGAGAGAAACAGAGAGAGAGAGAGAGAGAAGCTGCGAGGAGGAGAAGGAGAAACGATAAGGAGGAAGAGAGAAAGAAGAGAGAGAGAGAGAGATTATACAAACGACGTGAAGTTCCATTCGCGTACCCGGCAGTCATCGAATCTGACAGCGGAGACGCACGCGGAGAGGACGCGAAGAAGACCACTTGGCGAGCGCGACTCCTACACCTTGTTTTGTGACGAGTGATATACGACAAGAAACAAAGTGTGATCCCCCCCCCGCCCCGCATGGCGCCGCACACGAGTTACACGCCGATCAGCGGCATGGAGTACGAGGAGCCGGTGTCGCGCACTTACCAGTACCGCAAGGTGATGAAGCCGATGTTGGAGCGCAAGCGGCGCGCCCGCATCAACCGCTGCCTCGACGAGCTGAAGGATCTGATGGTGACCGCGCTGCAGGCCGAGGGCGAGAACGTCGCCAAGCTGGAGAAGGCGGATATCCTGGAGCTGACGGTGCGTCATCTTCACACGCTGCGCGCCGCCCGGAGGCTCACCCTCACTCCGGAGAACAGCTACGCCGATCGGTTCCGGGACGGGTTCACCCAGTGCGCACAGGAGGTGTCGACGTTCCTCTCGACGTCGGTCGCCGCGGCGGTGCATCCCGCCGCCGGGGCGCAGCTGATGCGACACCTCGGCGGCTGTCTACGACGCCTGGAGAGCCCGGCCGGCGCGAATCCCGCGACGACGGCGTCCACGGCTTCCAAGAGCCCGTCGCCGAGCGGCCAGAGGAACGTCCCGCCGCAGAACGTCTACTCGCCGCCGCAGAGCCCCGTCAGTGTCGCGAGCTCCTCCGTCGAGTCCACGGACTCGTCCAACGCCGTCTGGAGGCCTTGGCGATGAACCTCTTCAGCGAGAAGTACGTTCCGTACGATCTCCGGGTGGATCAGGAAGAGCCGGTCGAGATCGTGGATTCCCACCGTGCCAGAGAGAGAGAGAGAGAGAGAGAGTCCTCCCCGTGCCGAGCACACACGCGGAGAAACGACGAATCAATTGTTCTTCCGTCTCGGGCGCTTCACCACACCCGGGGAGACGTTGAGGATCTTGCGCTCACTTCGCAATCGAGATCTTATCCCGACTTATTCACTCGATCGTATTGTACATAAGTGATAAAGCTTTAAGTGACGTCTGTGATAGGGTTCCATTTTGTACCTGAACTGACTGTTTTCTTATAAAGTATAAACTACTATTATATAGACGTTAATTCGTTATATTAAAGAAACTCATCGCGACGACACACGACGCCGTTCGCGGCGAAATAAATATACGTCGAGGCAGCAGCCGGCCCCGCACGATAATCAATAAATGTCTCGTTTAAACGATTAATCTTGTCGAATCGATCTCGCCATCCCCCAACTCTCTCTCTCTCTCTCTCTCTCTCTCTCTCTCTCTCTCTCTCTCCTACTTCATAACAAACATACTTTTTAGATATAAGAATAGTGCAATCTCTCAGTTAAAGCCTATAACAATAATAATCTCGATGACGTAACGTATTCTCAAAATATTTAACGATATTTCGATGAGATTAACTCTTATTTATCGAAGCTGTTGCGCGTATCATTGAAAAACTACGCGAGTTGCAAGACAAGGGTAAATTCACGGGATTAAAGCACGTTCAATCGGTCGCACACGAAGATATAACGTCGTAGTAAAAATTACCGCAAAATTGTATAATGTTGGGCCAAACCGGAATTAAGGCTAAAATCATTATGTGTGTTGTATATTTAATAATGTGTACAATGAAGCGCATCACTAAAAGTTACAATATATATGCCATAATTTCAACTATAATTCCGGTATGGTCCAACATTATAAAATTTCGTGGCGATTTTCGCTACAATATCTTTATTGAGAGGAAGATATACTTAAGTTCGGGGACAACAATATCCCTTTTTTTTCATTTTAACCACAAAAATAATTGAGAGAACTATTTTTCTAGTAAATGTTATTATAATATCAGCGATAATAGCCTTGCATGCGTGTTAACATTATTATTTTTACGGTTAAAGTAAAGAAAAGATTTTGTTGCCTCCGAAAATAATTGTATCTTTTTCTTCGTGTAGAACACGGCGACGGTATGTCGCAGCAAGTCTCGTTCGGTGCTCGCGCAAGGCTGCAATGTTTGGCCGGCGGCTTCAGCAAGTAACAGCACGCAATATTGTGAGAAATCGGCGAGAACCGCTGCGGCATCAGCCGTCGTCGCCCGCCGACGTGTCCGGAGGTGGCGAAAATGACACATGAATATTAATGCGTCTTACGTGACTTGATGCACCGGCGACGGTTTTTTTGTGCCTTCCCCCCTACCCCCCTCCAACGAAATCCCCCTCCACGAAGACGCGATTTAATCAGTTCCTCCTTCACACGCGTTCTCGGGGACGCGATATATATCGTTGCTTCGCGAAACGGAAGGATGTTGTCTCGTCGCGATCGAATCATCCTTTTTTGCTGTTCGTAAAAACTGAAAGGATCGAGTAAAGTCGATCGAGGAGTTCATTCCGAGAAGAGCCGCCGATCGATCGATCGCGTCAATCAACAGCCGTGAGGCGCGACGCTTTCACACTTTTTCGCTCGTCTTCCGTTCCGACGGTGTCCCCCCTCCCCCCCTTCCCAATATCGCGTTAATTTGATTTTACGTAAGTGGAACAGCCGGCGTAAGAAAATTAACTCTTTCTTCTCCGCGGGTCTCCCGTCTTACTTTCCGATTAATGCATTCTCGTGTTCCGTCGGCTCGCCCGGTCGATAACGAGTATTTAATTGCCGCACGGCTGCCGACGTATTTACTTAACGTGCGTCTCAAGGCGGCGAATTAATCGACGAGCCGCGCTTTTTATGCCAGAACCGCGTGCCCGCGCGTCGGTTGCGACCCGACCGCATTCTGCACCCTATCAATCATCGCCGTTACGGCACGATTTCTGTGCAGCATCGTCCCGGCCTCATCATCATCGGTTGTGCGTTACAACTCGACGCGTGGAGAACGCGATTTTATTGATTTATTTATTCTTTTATTGTATTTTCGTGTTTCCGCAGTTCTTTTTTTCTTTTCTTTTTTTAAACTACCGGAGTCTCGTTACGCGCGCGCCTCTCGTCGAAAAACAGCGGGAAATTGCCGGCAAGAACGGTATTTCTGCAATTGGCGGTAAAGATTAGCGCGAATCGTTACGTCAGTGCAGCAGAAAATTGTGGCGGATCATGAATTTCAGGAAAAACGGCGATTGACAGAGCGAGATCCGCGTTGTTTCTAGGGTGAGGCCATAAATTGCACGGCAATTTGACCTTTCCGTTTTCTTCCCTTCTTCCTCTCCTTTCTCCCGTCTCTTCCCTTCATCTCTCTCTCTCTCTCTCTCTCTCGTTCCCTCCATTTTTGTTCCTCTCTTTTTCCGTTTTGCTTAGATGGTACCATCTCCTTTGAAAGTGCTGTCGCGGCAAAAAGTATCAATCGCATCGCATGCAGACGGAAATGAACCCGGCGCGGTAACAGCTTCTCATTCAAGCGCGATGCACGATTGACAGGCGCGCGCTGTACTCGCGTGCGAGAGATTGCGCAATTATCGGGACGTAAGCCGAGCTGGGCGTTGACTCGCGAGCGTTCAAATCTAACAACAAAGTCGCGGCGTTATCGTGAAGTATCGACGATCCGACGTGCGTCGGCACCGACTCTTAAATTCACATTATTAACACAGAGAACGTGGAAATCACTTGGTCGTTCTCGGAAATGTACGAGGAAAACGTGCGAAGGGCCTAATGTGCAAAAGCTCCCTATCGTTGCACTTTCGCACTCATACTCACTCACGTACACAGTAAGAAATTGTGTGTTTAATTTAACACATTCCACATGCCCCGAACGGTTCACACAAATTTTCGTGTTGATTTAACGCAAGATGAATACGTTGAAAAATAGAACGCAGGTGTTATGTAAAAAAAAATAACACAAAATTACTACGTTGATCGACATTGAAATATAAAATGTATTATTTGCACGCTTACGCGTGAAATATCGACACAACGCGAAATGTTGAGATAACATGAATTCAAAGTGTAAATCCGGATTTACCCTTCGTGAAGCCGATTGCAAAATGTTGACACGTAACGTTGTTATGTACTAAGAATCGATACTCGAGTCAGTACCTCGGCAGCGGTTATTTCCTACTTTGGTAGCCATTATAATAATTTGCGAATCGATTTGCTTGTTCCAGGTGCTCACGGCTACACCGTCATAATGCTGACAGCTGCCGGCGTTTAAACAATACGACGAACTGGTACGTAGCTTTCCTCTTCCTTTTCAAAAATCTTTGCAACGTCACGCACGTGCATTCGCACGTTCGCCACGACTTAGCTGCTTATCGGCGCGATAACGGTGCGTCCGCGATCCGCACTCAGAGAAATGGCTTGGCAATAGCAGTTAAATCTCATCAGCTAATTTGAACTTTGCTGTCATAACTAAAAGTTGGCTGTTAGAGATAAAACGCATCTGCTGCGAAGTGCAACTTCATTAGCTGAAATTATTAGCACCGGTTAGCTAACTGGTTAGCTGTGCTGATTATATCATATATGGATAATGTAAAACGCTTTTTTTATCAATTGACGAAGTGATGCAGAACCCAAGATTTATTGACTCGCGATTCAGAGGTTCGAGTACACCCGATGCTTAAGGTAGTTGGCCCGTCAAACGATTTCCTTGGAAATACTCTGAAATTTTAGCTGCATATTGATGGAATTATCGTCTACACGTCTGTGAAGTTAGATAACGATCGATCATTCGGAAGCTATTCGCAACTAAAGGTGACGCTTTATACGTATTGTTTGAGGTTAATGTCCTATTTTTAACGTGTATTTCTAATTTCTTTTAAACCACATTTAGAATTTTCATGGAAAACTATTGTGGTATTAAGAACTTATACAGAGATATTACACAAGAATTTTAGAATTGATCATTTTATTTTGAAAATATGGCTATAAGAAATTTACTTAATTTAATTATTTAATTTATTTATTCATAGTAGTGTATATTTACATATATATATAATATTACATATATATATATATATATATATGTAATATTATAAATGTAAATATATATATATATATATATATA